GCAGTTGTATGCGTGCTCATCGCATCGCTATTTTGAAGCCGAAATTCATGCTTTAAATTTGCTGGCGTACATAAAAGAAACGCACAACGAAGCTATTTGTACTGTTGCATACATTTAGGCAGCATATGCAGTTACAATCCACAACGATATCTTCCACACGGATTGCAATAAACAAAGTCATATAAATAACCACACATACATATCCAAATAAAAAAGAAAGGAATACATAGAAATTGATTGTGAACGGCATATGCATAAATATATACATACATATCGTCACTACGTCGTAGTTTTAATTAAAGCATGAACCACATTTTTATAAAAAGATAATAAAAAAAAATTTAATTGAAAATCATTGCAAATATTAAGCAAAAAACACCATGCACTCACTTTTGATTGCCAGTCTATGTATGCATGTACATATGTGTGTAAACTTTATGCCAAACTATCATTATTTTAAATTGTATTTGCATCTTCATAAAAGGGGAACAAGATAAAAAATTAAAAAAAAATTACAAATTAATGAAAATTATGTGAAGATTTACCATATTTTCGTTTATTTGCTCGCAAAGAACATCACATTTCATGTTGCTCAACATTGTATTATGTTATCAACATTAAATTCAACAGAATTTTTACATTCCGACTTGAACTTTTCTAACGCTGTTAATTTTTCGTCCGCGAATAGTTTCCACTTTCAGTTTGCACCTTCTCTATCTATCTAAGTTCTCTGGGAATACATAGAAATTGATTGTGAACGGCATATGCATAAATATATACATACATATCGTCACTACACACGAATAAAGGCGCGAGCACAAAAGTTGACGGCGAAAAAAGGCGCGTAAAAAAATTTTGCGAAAAAAGATGCTTATGAAAAACTTCGGCGAAGTATGTTAAGAGTTTTTGACGCTAAAGTTTTTTATGCGTCTTTTTTCGCCGTCAACTTTTGAGGTCGCGCCTTTATTCGTGTCTAGTGACGTATGTTCATTAAAGTAGTTCCAGAAAGCAATTGTTTGGGAATTCATAAAAGCTACAACAAAATATTGTTGTTTGTGATAAAAAATGAGACAAGTATTTTTTTATTTTGAAAAAAAAAGTAATTTTGGAGGTCGCGCTAGTCGGTTTTTCATAAAAACGCTGATGTTCTGAATTTTTTTATTTTCCTGACATTTTAAAGTAAAGCTAAAAATGTTCTTTTTACATGTAATTACTGGAACATTTCCTTATTTACATACCTATCTTGGACTGACAGAATAGGCCTAGTGCCCGAAAATATGCTTTCGGAGATAGCACATATATACATTTAGCGGTGTTCACGAAAATAGCAGCGCAACGTCTTGTAATTGTGATAATTAAAAAAAAAGTTCCACAACAAATACGGTATAAATCAGAGTTTCGAACTTTTAACATCTTTATAAAAATTCAAGGAATTACAATAAATTTAAATCCGAATTTTTAGAAAACTTTCGGGTATACTCTAATACTGTTAGTGACAGTTACAAGGGAGGAGCATGGGGGCGGTCGCTTTCCCCCCAGAGTTCGAAAAAGTAAAATTTAGGTTAAAATATATTACCTCAAACGACGAATTTTATAAAGTTTTTTTTTTTTAAATCTTCAATCATAATCTCTTTTTTGGCTTGCACAAGATTATTTATACATGGGAAAAATGACCGAACACCGAGTTACCGAGTACCAAGCTTCGGTGTGAAGACCTATGTAACCTGCCTATGTATCTGTGTGCAGCAGGACAACGTCTGCCCGGGCTTACTAGTTTGTTTCTAAAAACATAGCATAATCTTAAACAAAAACCATATAAATCCACGCTTGAATCTTTGTGCAACATTTGAAAAAAAAATCAACAAACTTTCGTAAAGTCTCGAACTTTTCAATTCGATTTTTAAGTAATATTTTGAGTATGCAGTTTTTTAGCCCATCAAATTTTACTGCAAGTTTAAAGTAACTGGGACGTTCCGTCGATTTTTGGCAATTCGTTTTTTGTTCACGATGTTAGCCATACGAAGCATTTTCGACGATTTTTTTTATGTGGAGAAAATGAGCAACACCTTCAATGAAAAAAATTCCCAAAAATTAATGGTAATTGAAATTGGGCTGCATACCCAAAATATTTCTAAAAGATCGAATTAAAAAGCTCGATATTTTTACAAATTTTGTTGACTTCTCTGTAAATGTACAAAGATTGAAAGTTGGATGTATGTGATTTTTGTTAAAAGATATACCATAATTCTAAAAACAAATAATTAAAATTAAAAAGTACTAAGATAAATGGTGAAATCTTGTCAATATGTGAGTGTCGTAAAGTTGTGATAAGCACTATATGTATGTATGTCGAATCGAACTTTCTGTTACTATTTTTTGTCTATTTCCGCGGTGAACGTAGAAACTTTCACATTCAAATGTGTAACCAGACATTTGTATGCGCATAAAAATATTGATGACTTGAAAAATATACTAAAAATTAAAAGGATTTCCATGACCGTTCATTATTGTTCTTATTCATTTTTATTATAAGAGCGTATTTTACGAAAGTATTTGTATTCAATGGTTAAAATAATTTAATAGTCCCAGCTTAATCAGTATTACTCCGATATAGTACATGATTAAAGAGATGAAATATAGCAGAATGCCCACTTCTGCTAAGATTCGCACAAATTAGCCATAAATTGTTTAATGCATAAATATCAACGCAATATATTAATTTCGCATCAGGGGGATAACAGCAAAAAAGCACTTGCCACGTTAGTTACTGACATCTCCTTCCTTCCACGGAGAGCGAATAGACACAATTTTCGGGCTAATTATCGTGCACGTAACGCCGAAGAGTATTATCGAAAGGCAGTATTTATACCGTTATTGGATAATATTTTGCTCGATTTCCGATGATTTGACAAAAATTTTAAGTAAAAAATAAGTATTTATAAATAACTACATATAAATCGCTTTAATAAACCCAACGCATAACTTTTTATCTTGGGTTTTTTTTAGAAAATAGTATAATTGTTTTATTACAGGGGACCCTGTAAAAGGACCTTGCAACAAATTCACAAAATGAGTCTTACTAAAAGTAAAATTATATCACAAAACACCTTACTTTGCACTTCATAAAAATTACTCGAAGGCCTATTTGCATGAAGAATAAATGAGGGTTCAAGCAGGTTGGATGCTTTTGGTCATACTATAGCTTCGATTAATCACTCCGTGGTGAATCAAGTCAGATGCCTGTAATTTAACGTTATTTGACAAGTTGATCCCAATCGCCCCTCCCCAAATAAAATCTTGTACCCGCAACTAAATACTGCATGCTTGTTTCTTTTAATTCATAATGAAAGATTTGAAATTTTGGTAAAGGTTTGTTGAATTTTTTTTATAATTTTTGTAGAAAATTTAAAACTTTGATATGTAAGCTTTTTGAAGATTTTCCATAATAACTCAAAAGCTCATTATACAGCCACTGCAATTAAAAGCAAGCCGGAAAATGACAAAAAATTCCAATTTTTAAATTTTATGGACTTTTTTCGAACTTCTGTAAAAAATGGAACATGCGTATACAAAATCATGACCACATTAATTTTGAGCAAAACCCTTCAAAAAAATAATTCTCATAAGTCCAACTCCAGCTACGCTGACCCAGTATTTTTGGACAGAACGCGTTAACAGTTTTTTTCAACTATCTATTCTACAATGACCTCTACTTAGGATTTCGAGTTATTCGAAAAATTGCTATTTGAAAAAACCAGATTTTGAAATTAAAAAAAAAAAACGGATAAACCGTTTTTTTTTACATAGTTTTCATACAGTGAAAATGCTCATGTTGATATGAAGTCATGGCCAAAAATTACAATAAAACTACATATTAACAATTAAAATTAAATTAAATTCACAAATTTACACCAAATTATACACCAGTGTGCCGCTTGAGTAGCTTTTATTTAGATAAGAGCAAAACAAAATAACTTCAATTTCGTTTTTTTTTTTAGGTCAAAACTAATACAAGTAAGTCAGTGTTTTCACTTCACGTTTAGTCTTATTTTAACTTTTTTAAATACCTTATGGGGTTTTTTCTGACTTTTTTCGGATTGAGTAGTAGGGCTCAGCAATAGCGAATAGCGGTCGCCCCTCGGCAGACAGTGGCAAACCTACGAGTGTACATACTTCTGCCATAAAAGAATTTCTTTGGAGGTGGAGTAAAAGTGAAGATCTCTCCATTTGTGTCACAACATCAAGAAGCAGAGCGTGAATTGAAGGAGAAGCTCGGCCAAATACTTAGAAAACGTTTAAGCGGTAAACATTCATTTATTGGAATACAAATTTCATATATTGTTCATCTCCAAATAACCTAAGATATAATTTTAAAACTATTTAGGGGTTTCTCTTAAACTGGAAAGAGACTTGAAAACTTCGAAAAAGTCAAAACTTTAATTGAGAGGTCAAGATTTGTATGAAATGAAAACAACCGGTTTATTCGATAAAGAAATCCGGTTTATTCGATATTCGAAAAATCATGATTTCAAAAAAAAACGGCCTATAATAATAATAATAATAATAATAATAATAATAATAATAATAATAATAATAATAATAATCATAATAGATTGGTGCTTACACATATGTTAGTGTTCGGCCGAGCTTCTCCTCCGATTTGTGGCGTGCACAAAACCTACAGTTTTACGCCGACACCGAACGGCTTATATATGTCAGAAAAAAAAACTGGTGGAAACCGGTTTAGAAAAACCGAGTCAATCACCCTACTTCTACTAAGTTTGGGATATTTATTATGAAATTCCTAATCAATTTTGAACACCGGTTTTTGTTATAGCACTAACTATATTTTTATAAAAAACAATAAAATTTAATAAGAGGAAATTAAAAGGTCAAAACTTGTGAATACGTTGCGCTGCTATTTTTGTGAACACTGCTGTATGTTCGTATGTTTGTTAACAAAAAAAAAAAAAAAATCAATCACCCATTGAGACACTCACCTACGCGGCTTTGGTCGCACGATTTCATGACTCGAATCGGTTATGCAGAGGGGACTCAATGCGCCGGCCAAATGCTCGACACCAATGCGACCCGGGTCCCAGCTGTGACGGCCGGGCATATCGTTGTTGTTGCTGCTGCTGCCCCCGATGCTGCTGCAGCCACCAATGCCACTGCTGGCGCTATTGCTGTTGCCGTGGTTGTTACTATTGTTGTTATTATATGCACCACAGTTTTTGTTGCTCTTGCTATGATTGCTGTTGTCGGCGTTGTTGCTGTTTTGTGTTTTCAAATGTGAAGCAGCACAGATGTTGTAGTTATTGCTATTGTTGGTGGCTTTTGGTTTCACAGCAATCGTTGGACGTAAATTGTAATTATTGCTGCTACTGCTACTACTGCTGCTGTTGTTTTTGTTGTTGTTGTTGTTGTGCTCGTTGTAACCACTTCCACTGCGTTGCTTGTTGTTGATTGTCGTTCTCGCTGCTGGCAATGGCACTTGCTGATTGCTGGCAATAATCGAGTTGGCGGTGTTGGCGGTTGTTGCTGACATTCGTGCGCTTTTTGCTGCATTGGTTGCAAGTGTATTGGTATTTGTGTGTACATATGTATTTATATATGTATGTAAGCACGTGCGTGTGCTTGTATCGGTAAATGCACGCGGCAGTGTGAATCTTCCTGTTCCCAGTCGTGGTTTTGCCAATTGCTACTGTTTATTTCACTTTGTCGATTTCCTTTAGTCGAACGTTGCTACTGCGGTTACGATTTTTTTTATCGCTCGCCTTAAGCTACACGGTAATTTGTGAGTGAGTGTTTCTTTTTTTGGCAGTTGTTTACCACAACTACTATTAATGTCATTTGCAAGTGGCAGTCACTGGAAATATAAGAGTAAAAACTTTAAAGCTATAGTTAAATAAATATATTTCTACAATATAAATAAAATTTTATAAATTACTGCGCCTAGAGGTATGCAGCATAAGATGCCTCCACAACCTGAGCTTCTGTGGTTTATTAATGCGCCTACCTAATATTTGTACAAATATTTTCGTACATGAACTTCTCAAATGGCCTGTGAAATAATTTGTAATAGCTGCACTTCGCAAGTCGAAGAGAGCCAGATATAAGAGGGGAGTGATAAAGGGGCAAGATGAGTTAAAATTGCTCAATCTTTTTTTAAATATAATTTATTTATAAAGAGTCGAGAAAATCAAGCCAATGCAAAATTAATAGCTTCCAAGTATCGTAGAACAGTTTCGAGTGTGTGCATATTTATTAACTAGTTCATGTTTTCCCAGGTCCGATTTAAAAGATTTTGAGCGATGTCTATAAAAGTTATAGTTGATATTTACATTTCGATTTATATTAATCGCTCATACATACATATATCGAGTTATATTTTTTTGATAAAAAATAAAACTAAGTTTTCGAGTTCTTTCGCTGTCCGAAACGATGATTTTGTGAATTGTTATTTTTTTGACCAAAAATAGTCAATATTTTTGGTTTAATTTTTTTCATAAAAATTTATTACTATTTAAATTTTATTTTATTTTTGATCGAAAATAAAACTAGTTTTGAAATACTTTGTATGGAAAAGTATTCTGTTTGCAGCTCTCACGAAAAATCACAAGAATTAGTTTTCGTTATTTCTGTTGGTTGGAAAAGTACTTTGCTTTTGCTGTAAATTTTCTTGAAATAAATATTCTAGCTTTTTTTCTTGAAAGCTGCAACCGTACTGTATAGAAGAAAAGTTCGTTTCCATTTTATTCATATGAATTTTTCGTTTTTCTTGAGAGCTGCAAACAGCTCTTTAACCAAAAAAAAATCTCAAAAATCAGCACGCTTTTTTAGAATTTTCAAACTTGAATTTTTATACTAAAATTTAATGGGCTACAAAAATGCATACTCAAAAAGATTCTAAAAAATCTGACTAAAAAGTTCTTTAATTTTGCACAAGGTTCAAGAAAGATTAAAACAAAAATTGATTCATTTGTTGTGAAAAATTCTGTGGGCACATACTTCTGGCCGAGAGTGTGTGTACGTATGTATGTTTTAAGAAAATATTGCGGTTGATAAATCTGTTGTAAGTTTTGAGTGCATATGTTGACGCGCGCATAGCAAAAAATATTCACCAGTAAACATTTATTAGAAAAGCGGGGGTGCGTTTGAAGTTTTTCGATCTGCTCAAAAACAAATTTTTATTTCTGACGTAAAAAACTACATACCCGAAAAAAAGATTTTTAATTTCCATATAAGAAAAATAAAACTTAAAAAATAATCATTATATTTGATGAAATGATGACTGTCGTGGGAACGATAGAACTCATAATGATTACTGTCGCCGAGGTAAACGAGTATGAACAATATTATTTTTTTAATTCTTCCATGAAACTACTAACATGATAACTAAAACAATTAAATCAACGTTAAACATAAAAAGGAAAAACAGTTTTCTATCGACAGATCCCCTTAAACAGCGAGCGCTACAGTTAAGTAAATTGATTTTTGATACAAATTTTCCAAATTGTCTCACGTGCTATTCATTAATTAACCAGCTTGCGATGAAATATGATCAGCGTAAATTTAATAAGAATAATCAACAAGAGATTTGTAACTTTTCGCGCAAACATACCAAAATAATTACAAAACAAACAACGGCACATGGCAGCATTTATTAAAAAAAAAATAGCTTAACCCGGTTCGAAGCACAATAACAACTACCAATAGATACCAGTATTCTGCGACGTCTACGTGCCATACATATTTATTCAATAAAGCAGCGAGGCGGCGTGTGAGACTAAGGCAATAATGCAACATTACAAGGAACGTGCAACTACAACTGCAACATGTGTGCATGCGTACGGAAACAAACAACAAACAACGACGACAACAACTTGGCTGCTGCTGGTGGCGGCTACTTCGGCTCACTGCAATGCCGCACAGAAAATAAGTAGTAGAGAACCGGCTACACAACCGGTTGTTGGTCAAATGCAGAGCGGCTGTGGGCTCGTGTGTTTATATTGGTGCATACATCCTAGGCCTGGTGACGTCTATGCCTAATGCTGTCGCTGTGACTGTGACTGCGACTGCGGCTGTGCCTGCGATTACGGCGCAACGTTCAAATGTAACCGAACTACAACTTTAATTGCATACCAATGTGGCTCCTAAGTTCTTATGCCGTTGGCCGTTACCCCCACCTCCACCGCTGCTACCTCAAAGTGTGGCAGGCGAGCCGGTGTGAATGCCGCGGGACACCATAGCCCTGTTGGAATGCCTGGCAACTGCTTGTGCCCATGCTTTTGCCGTCAAAGATGTGAACTCATTGGCTTTGGGCTATCGCAGATAATCGTCAGCGTTGTCAATAGCAGTCAACTAATTTCATGTATTTCATATTTTATAAGAAATTTATGAGTTAGTAAGTATTTACTGCTAAGCGCGCGCACTTCCCTCTTTCACGGGCCTTACTTACATACATCCTCCACTCGTCTATTCAACGGCGTTTGAGCTGAACTCAGCTGACACTTACGATGCGGCCACTAAGAAAGGAGAAACCGCCACCGGACAACCGACAACCGACAGCCGCAACATAAATGCGGCAACAACAGTCAAGAGTCAACCATTGAGTGCGTCATTGATGCTCCATCCGCCGTGGCTGTGTGGTTGAAAAAACAGCAAATAATGATGTGGCAGCTTGGAATTTTGCAAATGACGAAGATGCTGCTGCTGCCGTTAATTACGCTGCAGTGTTGGCTCGCTATACCACAGTGGTAATGTCAAATTGTGCGACGGCTAACCGGCTGATTATAACGCTAATAGATGGTGATGGCCTCTGAAACGAAGGGAGTTTGCGCAGGTACAGATGTTTAAGCTTCCTTTGGCTACGTTTGCGGCAAAGTGTAAACTATGGTGCAAATTAGTGTTTGGCGATTGCTTAGCAAAAGTGCGACATGTCGTTATGTCTATGTCCCATGGCTATCGAAGCGTCTTGATGTCACTAGTGGCCATTTATTATTCGTACACTTTTTAATGTTCAAACATATTTACTTATTGACAGCGCAAGTGAGGTGTAAATTGGGAGCTTATGTCAATCCTTCGTTGGGTTGGGCTGGGTTCTTTTTTCGGGGACTATTGTAAGCAATATAAACTTATTGTGATGCTCATCAGAAAAAAATGCAATAATTTCGAATACCGCTAAGTAGCTTTTAAGAAATATGGCATCCCATAGATTTGATGGGCATTATTCGAAGCGCTGAATACCCAAATAAACTCTTGTTTTGAAACTGGATTGATAGGCTTAGATAATAGAGAAAATTTGAAAATGAGATATTTATATGAAAATTGATCCGCTGGAGCGCTGTGTAGTAAAGTTGTTTGTAAAAGATTTATTTATGCTACTCTTTGGTTCATATTCAAAGTATATTTTGGCTACATAGAAACAAATTTTTTTTACAAAAAATGTACCCCCTAGGTGGCGCTAGAATCAATGTATTTGCTACAGTACGATTTTTCTTCGTAACTGGCGCAAAATATCACTGATTTTAGAACAACTTAAGGAGGACATTATAATATTCCAAAATATTTAATTTGGAGAAACCGACAAATTCTTAAAGTTCGTTTTCCCTCAATTACTTGACTTTCCTTTAACAAAAAGCCATCACCACCACCAATCATTGACTGATTTAATAAAAGCAATGCACTTCATGCCACTGCAGTTGCTATTGGCGTTACTTATGCTCCATAAGTATCAACCGGCAAACTGCCTTCACATCGGACTGCCCCATCCATCAGAGCCACTAAATACTAACAACAAAAACGTAATCAACACATTCCACACATTTTCTTGCTTCCAACTTTTTACGATTGAAGAAAAGTATAGAAAAACTACGCCAGCCATTAAATGACACAGGCAAGCAGCAGCGCATAGAAACACAGAGAGAAAGGCAATAAACTTTAATTAGCCAGTAATTTGCAGTAGTCAGCGAAATATGAGTGAGCTACTAAGTGACCAGCTAACTTGCTAAACGACAGCATGGCTGGTTGTTGATGGACAGATCGAGCAGTTGCTGCTTAAATGTGGCATACAGCAAAAATTCTCTGCTGGCAGCTTATTTGATTCGCATTTCTTATTAGAGCGTTTTGGTTGCCAAATGTCAGTCACTTCCAGCTGAACGCATACATATGTATATATGTATGTATGTGCAATCTTAGCTGTCACTCGAAGCGTGAAATAATCGACATTTTGCAAAGTTTATTGCATTTCTATTTATTTTTTTCTTTACTTTTTTTTTCTTGCTTTTCCGTTTCTTGTTTGTTGCATTTATTTTCTGCCACAATTTGATTTGATTCGATTTGATGTAAAGTGATTTGATTTGTCATTTTAATTGCAATTAAATGCCTTGCTAATTGTTGTTTGTGCGTTCGTCGATTTGTCTACTTGTCGCCACCTTCATTCTAGCTCCGTTGATCGTTCTGTTCTTTGGATTGTTATATAATGGCGGCGAGCTGTCGTCAAGTGGCGCGCATACGTTGCTGCACCTTAGTACCGTAGTTGTTTGTTGTTGTTTGGTGCGCTGTTCGCGCTGGCCTGTCATCATCGTTTGAATTATTGACGTCGTCTGGGGAGTTGCGCATTAAGCAAAAATACCAGCATATACACATACATACATAAATACGAGTTGTACTGCGGACATTTGTATGCCCCCATAGACACCATGCAGGGAAACCGCGGATTAGTGAATCAAATGTCTAGTTCCGTACTAGATCTTTATCGCAAAAAACGAACCAGTCCGATAGTTACTAGAACCCCACCAGTCCAAAATCATCGAAATGTGGTACTTTTAAAAAACTATTTTTTTTCACTGTTTCCATTGGAAAGCA